AATTCAAATACACCTCTTTCTTAAAATCTATTGTTTTAATTTGAATAATATTCAAATTAATTTTAACCAATAGTTTTAATATGAATCCAATTCACGTTTATTATTATTTTAATCTTATTCAAATATATATCTCATATTATAGAGTTTAATTTCAAATCTTATTCAAAATTATCTATATACACATTGTATTAGTTGTATCTTATACAATTAACCTACATTCCCTTGTTTGAACACCTCAAATTCTTTCAAAAATCTTGATCATCGTTTTACCCATTGTGAGCTAGCAAGGGCACGTAATAGACCTACAGATTATAAGTTTCAATGATCCGAGATTAATTAATTAAACTCATTAATTAAATTAATCAAGATTCATTAACTATGGGTCACTCCACTAAAGACCTAAAGTCAGCGCTGAAGAGAACAACTCATATACTTATCTTAAATAGGACAAGGAGTAAATTTAATCTTGCATAACTATATTCCCAGCTTCCCACTTGGTCTAGTCTCCAAAATGGTAGGCTTATTGAGTTGGCAGCTCGTGCCACTCTCACCCATACAAATCAAAAGACGATCCCTCATAGACAAGCATCCATAACTTGCTTAGGATTAAGATTGAGTAACATATGGTCACCTATGAAATATTAATCTCATCAATCAACGATGTTACAAAGTGAGATTAATTATTTCGCGGTCTAGTCTTATACAAACTCATTATATAGGATACCCACATGAACGATTTGAATCAAATTGTTTGTAAGTGTTACAAGGTGGGACGTATCCATAGTGTCCAAGAATAAAGTACTCAACCTTATCCATATAATCCACTCCACCCTTGTCATATATTTCATATATCGCACTAGATAGATATCAATTGTCATATATTTCATATATCGCACTAGATAGATATCATATTGATAGGGTTCATATTTATGATTTTTTTATCGATGATATATACTTAAATAGTTGAGATATGCTAAATTTGTCCATTTATTGTCTTTTATTGAAACTTGCACCTACACTATTTTATGAGGAAATTGCGCTAAACAACCCAACAATGACCTCGTCAATGAGATATGACCACTTTTTGAGAAACTTGTTATTCTACCATTTTGCTTATATCATCATTTGTAAAATTACATTTTCCCCCTTCCCTCTGGAGTATTTCTTCATTGTTTTTTCTTTTTTGTTTTCTATTGAGTTAATTTTTTTAGCCAGCTTAGAATTTAAAAATTCTTCTTCTCCAAATTTCTTGACTACTTTTGCTCGGTGAATTTTATTTCATTTTTATTTATTTACTATTTATTTCTTTTTTTTTAATTGAGTTCAATTTTTTCCAACTCGAATCTATCAGATTTCTCCAAGTAATAACATAATTTTTGCTCTGTCAATTATATTTTATTTTTATTTGATAACTTTAATTTCTTTTTTTTCCTTTGGTCTTAAAATCAAAATCTTGAGTTAATTTTTTTCCCAACTTGAAATACCCAATTTTCGTTTGTCTTTCACGTTTTCTTAATTATTTTTTTATTTTATTTTTCTCGTATCTCTACCTCTATCTTGACCCGTATCTCTACCTCCTACCTCAAGTTTAAAGAAAAAATTTGAAAGAGAAAAATAAGATATAGACATAAGTAGATGTAGAGATACAAGTATAGATATAAGCAACGGTAGAGATAAATATAAAGATAGAGATAGAATTGAAAGATAAATAAAAAATCAGAGTTGAAATTTAAAAAAAAAAAAATTGAAAGAGAAAAATAAGGAATCAAGTGTTGGTGGTCGAAAGTCAAATCGACACGTGTAAGTATATTCTCAGTTCGGATCAATCCAATTGGTAAATAAACCATCAGAGCTCAACGAGCTGCCTGAAACCGAGTTGAGGTGACCAACGCATCATAGCCAACCTGTGGACTCCGGCCTCAGATCCGACCACCGACTTGAAGGGCCCGACAGTCGTAACCGCATGTCGAAGCAACCTAACGGTCTTGTATCCCCTCGCCTGCCTATAAAAGGAGCACTTCTCCCATTCGACAGGTATGCAATTCTCTCTGAGAACGACCTAAGACTTTGAGCTCGCATTGACTTGGGCATTGGAGTGTTTGTTCCTTATGCAGGTTCACTTGTGAGCACCTCGGCTATTCGTCCACGTCAGCTCGTCAACGACGTGTGAGCTCGATTGAAAAACAACATCAACATCAAGAAAAAAATATTGAAAGTATGTTGCAAAGATAAACTATTGTTATCGCTACCTTTATTATTGCTACCGTTATCGTTATTATCGATATCTCTACCGTTATCGTTATCGCTATAAGATGAAATTTGAAATATTTTGCTAATATAAACTATCGCTATAGCTACTGTTATCGTTATTCTCTATCGCTATTACTACTGTTATCGCTATAACTAAAAGAAATAAGTGAGGGGCATGGGAAGTAATTTGTCGCGATAGGATGATGTCTCTAAGGTCAAAATAACAAGTTTTATAGGATCCGGTCATATGTCATTGATGCTTCCAAATTATATAATTACTACGGTTCTCCCCTATATTTATGAAGGTGTAAAACTAAAGTAAATTATTTATGACCCGTTTGATAACCATTTTAGTTTTTGGTTTTTCTTCTTTTTAGTTTTTGGTTTTTGGTTTCTGTTTTTAAAAAACAAAAACCATATATGTTTGATAACCATTTTTTGTTTTTTTGTTTAAAAACATGTTTGGTAACCATTTTTAGTTTTTTGTTTTTAAAATGTTAGAGAATTGAAAATACATATTAGAGAGAAAATTTTATGTAGACTAGAGATAACAATGGTGTGAGTGCAAGTGAGGATGCTCTCCTCATTCTCGGGCTCGTGAAAATTTTTAGTCTCCATCTCCACCTCATTCTTGGGTTCGAGAGATGTTCTCGAGAAAAATTATCGGTTTTATAATTGTTTTTAATTATTTTTAGAATTTAAGTATAAAAAAGTGTAATAAATATATATTAATTATTTAAAAAATGAAATCGGGGACGAGACATTCATTTTCTATTTTTGGGACCCGACCCTGCGGAAATTTTTGTCTTCCCCTAATGTAAAGACATGAAAATAGCGATGTAAATAAACTTTTGGAAAATCAATTTTAGAGAGATAAATAAAAATATTTAGAAAAAAATAGTGAAAGAAAAGTTAAAGACAAAAAGAGAAAAAAATTTGAGAAAAAAATAAAGATATAAAGAAAGAGAAAAATTATAGTGGAAACAAATTTAGAGATAAAACAATATTCAAAATATAATTTTCATAGAAAATAAATAAATACAAAGAAAAATAAAAGTTAAAAAAATTGAACGAGAAAATAAAATATAATTTTTAGAGAAAAAAAATAGATTACGAAGAGAAAGAAAAGTTACAAAATATGAAATTTTAGAGATGAAAAAGTTATGAAAAATATTAAATTTTTAGAGAAAGAAATGAAACTTGTCTGCTAGAAAAAAACAAAAATACATAAAAATTTGGAGAGAGATAAAATAACAATAAATATTCAAAATATGAAAATTTTAGAGAGAGAAAAATAAAATTTGTAGAGAGAAATTTAGAAATAAAAAAATTGGAGTGAAAAATAATTTTTTTAGAGATAAATGTGAGAAAGGAAAAAAAAAGTTGAGTATTGATTGAAAAAAATGAGATCTTGAAAAACAAATACCTGTTTTTGAAAACTTTTTTTTTCGAAATTTATGAATTTCAAAATGGTTTTTGAAAAACAAAAAAAAACATAAAATTGAATTAGTTATCAAACAACCATGTTTTTTAAAAACTAAAAACCAAAAATAAAATAATTATCAAATGGGTCCTTAGTCTATTAATTTTAATATATAGCTTAAATTTGTAATCACTTAAGCCTTGTTTAATTACCCATAATTGTAATGAAGGAATCGTAATGAAAATTTTCATTTCCTTTGATGTTTATCAAATTGTATGAATGAAATCAAATGGTGGAACCTAACTCAAACTTTGTAATCTCATTCCTTAAAAGTTGTAATCCTATTATATTCCTACAACTCCATCAATCTCATTCTCATTCTTTATTCCGTTGGTCCCATATATTTATTATAATTACTTTACAATTTTTACCATTTTTCTCTCATCTATTAGTTAGATCCATACAATTTTTAATTAACTTTTTTATACTTTTGTAATTTCTTCTTCATTTATACTTCAATTTTTATGAGTTGATGTGATTTTATTATATAATATTATAAATTTATATATATTATTTGATATAGTTTTATTTTAATTATTCATTATTTATTAATATTAAAAAAACTTTATAATAAAAAAATTTACTATCAATAATATAGTAATAAATTAAATTAAAATTTATGTAATTAAAAAGATTAGCACAAATGTATTTGTAATTAGTTAAAAAGGAGAAATTAAAAAGAAGAAAGAGATATACTAGTAATTGTCTGATTCAGATTTCTGATTTCAGACAATTTTAGTAAACAACATCAAAAGAATTTTGATTACGATTCTAGAAAATTTATGGTAAACAACATCAAATAAATAACATTCTCATTCTAATTGATTTTCATTCCAATTTATTCTCATTATGATTGCAGGTAGATAAACGAGGACTTAGGCTCTCAACTTAATATGTATCAATTTAATTCATATAGTTCAAAATTTGTAACGATTTAGTGATTCAATTTCACAATTATCTAGTCTCACAAATATGTTTTCAAACCAAAAATATTGATCGTTATAAATTAAAGATCGATAACTTGACAATATTTTTCACATTTAAGAATTAAATCGTTACCAGTTTTAGAATTGATAATTAAATTGCTGCATATTAAATTAAAGTAACTAAATCGAAAGTGCATTTTCAACTAACTAGTTTAGTCGAGTGATTGAAAGTCAATGTAAATAGTAAAGTGATTGGTTGGGATGTGATCAAACCACGGTCGACGACTACTTAGGATTAAAAATCTTAAAAAAGGAAAAAAGAAAAAAATACGAATATTTAGGTGGAGGTCGGCGTTTGAATGGACTTGTTCATTTGACTCGGAAGAGGGCGCTCATACAATCGTCCCAAAAAAGTGTTCAGATTTTGAGAAGAACGCATTAGAAATCGTTGGAGTGAGATCGCCATGGTAATTGTTGGTACTCTCAATTCGGATCAGCTTCGGTTCTTTGAATCTCAGGGTAGGTTGCACCGCTCCATCCCCCCGACCACTGTTTTCCAAATTAAAATCGCAGTTGCAAGTTGGAACACGCACGATTTTCCATTTTCTTCCACAAATTGATCAACGGAATTCTTCTCGTTCTGTTCTCAGGTTATCTTGTGATTGAATCATTCGCGAGTTCTGATGAAATTGATGCCATGAGGAAGAGAATGGAACAGTTGCTTGATGGGTTTGACTGCTCCACTTCCTCTGTTTTCTCTACTGTAAATCAGGTTTTTGATTAATAGCTCCCGGAACCTACTTCCAATTGTTAACATTATGCTCGGTTCATATTGATATACATAGATATATTTTCTCGCGTTTGTATGACTCTACAGCGGCAGGTGACTGACGATTACTTCTTCGAAAGCGCCGAGAATGTTTCCTTCTTTTTTGAGGGTATCCACACTTTTACCTTTTGTATACTGTTCATTTTTAAATCTTTCTAGGTTTGTAATTTAATGTTTTTATATGGACTTTTTGCTCGTGTTGAAGAACACTGAAAAGGGGAACAAGATTTAGAGTTTTTGGGTATCTTTTGAAAATTATTTGTTCAGAATTCTGAGCAAATGGAAGAGACGTTTTATGTAGCTAATTTACAACTTGTATATCCATTCATGTGCAAGCCTGTGTGGAACTTATTGAAAGAAACATGGGTTAGAGGTTAGACACGAAATCCCTCTGATATATTTAGCGGTGTAATTTGGCCATTATTTATGATGGATGGAGCTCCTTCAGTGAGAACTCAAGATAGTTGAGATTCTATTGAAAAGAAACGTGGACAAGATTTGGTATTCACGAGCGTATGCTACTTGTCTTTTGTTACTTAAATTAGTTAATGCTTGTAATATAATGTTGGAACTAACAGTTACATGCTAATAACTATACTTCAAATTTGGTTCCAGCTAACCTTTTCTTCTTTAAGGGAATCGGGTGTCCATCTGTTGGATGAAGTTTTTATGTTCCCGATTCTGCAATTTCATCATTTGAATTGTCCTGTAGGTTGTGCTCTTTTTTTTGCTTTTGAGAAGTTATCATTAGCATGGTTCACGACAATTGCCTTTTTTTTTTCCTTCTTTTTTTCTCTTTTGCAGAAAAAGCGTTTCGAGAGGATGGAAACTTAAAACAAGCGAAGGAACTCTCAATTAATAAAGTTGGTCATGGTTTGTAGTCTGTAAATTGTAACCTTCTGTTTTAGGAGACCATTGTGTGACAGTGAAACTTTTGATGTGTCTTTTACTCTTTTCTATCTCTTTTGCATTGATTTCAACTTCATCCTGGCTTTCTTGGGTTTAGAGATACTCGTTAATTGGAACCTTGAATCTTCAGGTGTGCTTTTTGGTAGGTCATTTTTGTCCCAGAAGGCTTTTGAAGCTTATGCTTGGGGAGTTGCTGAAATGTTTAGCCTTTTTAAGTTTTACTCCTTTGGATCTTAAGAGGCATATGTTTCATTAGTGTGCATTGAGGCTCCAAGCCTTTATGCTTCGTGAATGAACAAAAAAGAATATCAATTCACCATCTATTTTTCAAAAATATAACATTCACTTATATAATTAAAGCTATTATATTTGAATTATAGTACTGTAGTCCCTTACTACTTTTACCACCAAGACTTGGAAAAAAAAACATTGAACACAAATTAAAGATAATTTTGATTTAATTATTTTATTTAAGAAAGTGATAAATAATAGATAAAAGTTTTTCTTCTTCCAAAAAAAAAAAAATTTTGGTTGAGGCTTATGCCTTGCCTTGCGTCAAAGGTAAGCCTCAAACCCATTTTTGGCCTTATAAAACATTGATCCCAGCTATGTGCCTCTTTGATCTCATCTTTCTCCTCTCTATTTATCTCATTTTGGGTGGCTATTTTCTTTCTTTCTCTTTTCTTGGATATTCATTGAGCATTTGACTTGAAAGAAATAGGAGAATTTTTAAGCAGTGAGAGGATTATTGGGTGGAGAGGTGGGCCTTTGCTCACTTTAATGCCTCGGTTTAGGTGTTTATGACCAAAGAATTTTGTGACTATCATTTTTTTATAATGCTTAAAAGTTCTCCTTGTACTATAATTTTTCTTTTGATTATGTTCTTTTTGCTTTTCATTTTCCATTGGCTCTCTTTTGTGACCCTCTTTTGTAGCGTGCTTCCTTTTATCCTACCTGTGCATTTTGTTCTTGTTCTTTTACTTATCTCAATGAAAGTTTGGATGGTTTCTCATTTAAAAAATAAAAATAAAAAATAAAAAAATAAAAGAGAAAAGAAAGACAAATTTGGTCATGGCATGCAATGTAACTTCTTAGTTTTCTCTAGGTCTTTATGGCTTTCCTATTTTCTAATTTAACCCTGCCTTTTTGCAGCATTACATGAGATTGACCCAGTTTTCAAAAGCTTCTCCTACTCTGAGAATGTTTCAGGTTTATTGTTGTCCTTGGGGTACAAGAGGCCAATAGCCATTCAGTCTATGTACATATTTAAGGTTCTCCCATTCATCACAGTTTAATATATTTTTATCAATACTAGTGAGTTTTATTCAAATATGAACATTTCCGTGAAGTCATGCATACAATAACATATGCTCACTGACAGCAACCAGGTATTGGAGGTGAAGTAGTGCCTCACCAGGATAACTCATTTCTTTACACAGAACCAACCACCTGCACAGGGCTATGGTTGGCACTTGAAGATGCAAAAACAACAAATGGCTGTCTTTGGGCTATTCCTGGATCACATAAAAGTATCCCCCTGGCAAGCCGCTTTCATAGATAGCAGAAACGTCTTTCCTGATGTCTGATGTAATTTTATTTTCGGTTAAACTTTTTGTTTCTAGATGGACTTGTTAGAAGGTTTCTTAGGGGTGAAAATGGGGTGTACTTTGATCAGCCTTCCCCTGCTTACGAACAGAAAGATTTCGTGCCTATTGAAGTGAAAGCTGGATCTCTAGTTGTCATTCATGGAGACCTTATTCATCAAAGGTATGTGGAAGGAGTGTAAAAACTGTATCGCTAGTTTATAAATGTCGACGGTTTGAGTTTATCTTTAAATTTGTACCATTATCAATTTTTCATTTTTTAAAGTGGCACCATCTCACGAGGATACAACTTTTCTTCCCTAGTTAATTCTAGCGACACAGACTCCTGTAAAAAAGAGATGCATATTTTTATAGTTCTAACAATGTCTTAGATTTTGTGTTTAATTTCAAACCAAGCTGAGGAGTATAAGCTAGATTCTTTAACAGCTGTAGTTATTATTTTACATAGATTATGAACAATTTTATCATCAAGCTGATAGTTGTCAAATTTCTTTCATATGTTTGGACTATAGCTTTGAAAACCAGTCTCCAAAATCAAGACATGCCTATAGCTTGCACGTGGTTGATACAGATGGTTGTGTTTGGGCTCAAGATAACTGGTGAGTACATGATAAATTTGAACTATTTTCCCATTTTCTTAAGAAATTAGCTTATTTTCCATTGATGAATATTTTTTTTTTCCTTTTTTTCTTTCCCTCGTTGCTGTAAGCTGAGCTAGTTTTGATATTAATACTTCTGCAAATTTTGAAACTCTAAGCTTTTTGAGCCGTTGTGTTATTTTTATTGAGTTAAAGTGGCATAGTGAAAGGACTAAAATTGTAATTTAATCAAAAGGGATATCTCTTATTTTTAAGAGCAAGAAACAATTTCACTTATGTATGAAATTACAAAAATGGGCCCATAAAAGGAGATTACATCAAGCTATTCCAGCTAAACAATAGAGAAGAAAAGCTATAGTTGTGAAAGAGGGGAGATATCTCTTTGAATAGCAAAGGAGTCAATCATGGGGCTGTGTATTTTATCCCTTGTAGGAATGGTTGTGGTTGGACCTGGTTCACTAATCGCTATTACCCAAGAAAGGCCTATAGTCCTAAGGCCTATAGTCCTATAGTCATTAGTCCCACATTACCATTGAATTCATGGTTAGTTTTCTAGATCTGGAAGTGTTTATGTCGAGTGTTTCCCAGGCCTTTATTCTTTGAAAGGCTAAGTAGTGCCTTAGTAATGGAAAGGTATTTGGAAATTTTAATCCGTAGTTGCCTTGTTTGGCTCCCTCCCTCCCATTCAAAGGCGCTAATGGCTAAAGTCTCATTCACAATATGCTGAGGTTAGCATAAGTTACGATGTGTTGCTCGAAATATCTCTCAAGTCCCCTTTTGTATCAATGTTTGTAAACTGTACTAGGAATAAGGTAATGATTTTTTCTTTATGGAGTTTTGTGTTGTTAAGTTGAGAGCAGTGGCCGACTCCATTGCATTTGAGGGAATTGGCCATAATAGTTGAACCAGGATGAGGAAATTCGAGGTCAAGTTTAGAACTTCTAGCTTCTCTTTTGGGCTGTTGAAGTGCCTTGTGTATAAAAACTTGATTCTTGTGTTGATTGGAGATATTCTGTCCAAAATAGATGCATGCAAACTGATTCTGGTGGCACTGAAATTGATTTGCAATTCAATCATTAAAATGAAAGGAGTATTGTCTGTATTTGTATTCCCCTCAGAAATAGCATTATCTGACCTCCATCCTTCAACTTTTGATACAGGATTAGAAGAAAGGTTCAGCCAGAGCCTTTGTATGAACCTTGATAAAATCCGATGGTTTTGGCCTCTAAGGGCTGTTCGGTTGGTGAGGACTTGGGATTTCTTGGTCATACTGGTTGAGGTCTCAAGTTTGAACCTTCCAGTGAGATTAATATTAAAAACCCTCGATGTCTCTCGGATTCAGGCCCTTGGGCAAGCGTGGGTTCCCTTGGGTATAAGAGAGCAAAACTGCGACTCCAAGTTATGAGGAAAAAAAAATCCGATGGTTTTGTTTGTTCACACATCTTCATCACAAAAACAGGTACTCCATAGTTCATATCCAAAGACAAACATGGTTTTCTTGATGTAAAAAATTGTGCTGAAGTTTCGTAAAATCTGTGATCTCGTGGATTTAAGAATTTCCTCATTAATGCTAAGGATTAGGCTGTGTATTATATCTTTTTCCCGTCTTTAATGTGTTTGATTTAGTTGTTTAATTCATGTAGTTTATTTACTTTTGAGCGTCGTGGGATAACAATTTTTTTTTTCTGTTTTTGAAATTTTAGTTTATAAATACTACTTTTATTTTTGTATTTCTTTGTTGTGTTATCTACAATTTTTTTTTTACGTTTTTAAATTTGGAGTAAAATTTGAAAAACTAAAACAATTTTTTTTTTTGAGTAAAACTTTTTAGGCTTGCTTGATATTACTGAACTACAGTAATTCTTTTTCTTTTTAAATAAGATATTAAATTATATGTAGTGCTACTCAAGGTAGGTTCTAATTACGTTCTCATCGTTTCAAAAGTTTTATTTTAATCGTTAATTTTTAAAATTGTTTGATAACAATCAATGAAGACAAAAATATGATATGACTGTGAATTGTAAAAATAGAAGTTATATTTGGTAGTGAAATGTAAATAAAAAATTATTAATTTTATTTTAATCTTTTAACCTACAAAATTGCTTTAAAATAATCATTTTGTTAGCTGTTGAAATACTGACAAAAATATAACATGGCTATAAGTTGGAAAAACAAAGTAATTCACCCTCACAAGAAATTAAGGAACGAGAATCAATTCTTTCATTTTCGATGGTGTCCCAAAAGAGTTGTAATCTCATTTCTATCCTACAATCTCATCAATCTCGTTCTTTATTTCGTAAGTCCTATATATTTATTATAATTACTTTACAACTTTTACTCTTTCTCTCTCACCTTTTTATTTAATTGTTTTACTTTTATTATTTCTTTCTCATTTATAATACTAATATTTTTCTTATAATAAAAATTTATACCATTTTCATGAGTTGATGTGATTTTATTAAAAAATATTATAAATTTATATTTAATTTTTAAATTTAATTTTATTATTATTAATTAATACCAATAGAATTTTTTAAAATAGAGTTCATTATTATTACCCCGACCCCACTTGTACTAGAAAAACATTATTATTAAATACTAGCATAATAAAATTTAATAATATTTTATATTAAATAATTGTGATTCTAAGAAAAAAATATTTAAGTTGATGTAATTTTATTTTAATTATTAATATTAAATAAATTGTTATAATAAAAAATATTTTCTATCTATAATAATAAAATAAATTAAAATTTATTATTATTATAATTATAAAAAAAATTAACACAATTATGTATTTGTAATTAGCTAAAAAGAAGTAATAAGTGTGATACATATGATTTCGATTCTATACTAATAAGTGTTATATATATGATTTCGATCTGATTTGAGACAGCTTTAGTAAACATCAAATGAATTAAGATTTCGATTCTATAAAATTTCTTATAAACAACATCAAAGGAATAACATTTTTTTTCTACTTGATTTAATTCCCATTACGATTTCTACTAAATAAACGGAACCAGTCCAAGTACAATCAATTTTACATTATTATAGTTAGACGAAAAGATGATAAGTAAAAAGATCATAGAGGAGAAATAGAGGAGCTTTCCACTCTACAAGATCATCAAATTGATAAATTAAGTGTCAACATAAGCCAAGACATTAAACATATGCTCTAGAGGTAGAGGTTTAATAATTCATGTCTAAGAAGTGGTCAGGTCACCATATTGTAGACCAACTTCCTTCTAACTTTACCCTGTTAGCACCAAAAAGAAGGGTTATGCTGCTTTGGGATCAATATCAAATACAAAAATGGTAAAGGATGGCATCTCTACATTTTAACAACGAATCAACAAGTGAAAGTTCAACGAAACTCGTTGGTCTGGCAGATCCTAGAATGACTCGGGACTTGGGAGTCTATTCACAAAATGAACTGCAATGGTTCTAGCAGATGCTTCTGATCAAAGTTGCCAGTCTATGGGGTCAGTACCCAATTCTTTGAGAAGTGAGTTTGTTTGAGAAAAATGCCTGTCAAAAAACCATAGTAGCAATTTCGATCAGCCAACCCATTCTATGTCTTCCTCATCTGCAGGAAAAGAAGAAAGAAACAATATCCATCTACATTCCTTCATATTAGTCAATTACTAGAACATTTTATTACTGACAATTGTAGTTTATACCTTCGCAAACATTGCATATTGTCAATGTTTGAAAAACAGACCACAAAACTTCAGGAAGAAGATACGACGGGGTCTAGGATGATTCTTGGGAATGATACTTTAAGTGCATTTTTTAGAAACACTTGTGAAAGAAGCACAAAATTAAATGTCTTTCAAAAGTACTTTTCAAGTGGATTTCATAATCATTTGACTAGTTAACCAAACACGAAAAAAATTGAAAATTGTTTTTCATTGGCTAAAAATACTTTTCACTATTTCAAAGTTCACACCAAACTCACCCCAACTATGACCATAAGACAAAATCAGGCAAAAAAAAAGTGGTCCAACTTTAGAATTCTGATGTCACAGAGAGAGAGAGAGAGAAGGTAGAAACAAAATGATATGTATGTGCACAAAATCTGTAGTCGCATACTGGCAGTAAAATGTTGTTACTGTGAGAAGTATATAGAAGGGAACTGATAAAGTACAAAGGTTAAAGCAAATCCCTTTGTTCTCTTCCTAACACTTGAATAAAATATAAGAAAGGTTTCAAAAATTGGATGGAACTAACCTGCAGCCGAAGAAGCCTCTGTTAGCAGACAAACCAGAAGGATGCGCTGCTTTGAGGATGTGATGCTTTCTCTCATCAATTAAACTGTGAATAGATCAAATTCTAAGTGAAGTAGCATATTATTCTACAGATTTGGTAGAATGGTTTTTGAGAGAGTCCGGGTCTCTCAAAGTGCCTGGATCATGTAATTTAATTTTCTTATATTAAAAACAGTTTTTATTAATTTCAAATACCAAAATTAAAGCACTTCAACCTTGGCAACGGATTTGGAGTCTTAAGAAAATTTTGCTGAAAGTACAAAACAATTTGGAAGGAATAATTAGTGAGTTTGCAGCAATGAGATTGAAGAAAAAGGAGGAGATGAAAACAGAACTCTAGGCTGTGGAAGAGAGTGATGGTCATGGGAAGTAATCCAAATTCATGAGGATAGTAACCAAATTAGAGAGGTAAAAGAAATTCAAAGCTACACGTTTCAACCAAGTCCTTGTGAGCTTCATTGGAAGATAGGTACACAAAAAAAAATAAATAATAATAATAATAGTATAAAATAAAATAAAAAGTGGCTAAAACGTTTTAGTGCTTAGGAAGGAAATTTGAGAATCAATTTGCCACAGTGATATCAAAGGTGCCCAAGAGAAGACTACGGCTAATGAGGGGAGCTTTCACCAATAAAGAAACGGATGCGAGGAGAAGATCAAGAAAAGCGAGGACAGACAGTCCAGAAAAGTTTCAAACACATCATAATCAACTTTCCCCAGCCTAAGATATATCAACTTTTTCCCATGTAAGATTTGTCATGCCAGATTCCGAATAATGTCTAAAAATACATAGTTGATGCAAAACTTTTCATCTTAAGGTCATTGATTATATATTCACCATGATTCTATTATTATTTTTGTTTTTTCCAGAATGGTGCACTCCCTGAAAAAGCACTAATATCATAATATAGAAGTACCTCATTTTTGCTTGAGCAGAGTTCCCCCAAAGAAGAAAAACAACTCCTTCCTTCTTTTGTGATATTGTCTTGATGACAGCATCAGTGAATTGTTCCCATCCTTTCTTAGCATGAGAGTTGGCTTGATGCTTTCTAACTGAACAGGTAAAACCAAAATATTTATCAATATCTAAAAAAAATGGAGAAAGCATGTAGCTTCTTCATCTTTACCTAAAAATGGAAAAAGAAAGAACTCCTATCAAGTTAGATACATATACTAATACCACTGGTATGCTGAAGAAACAGTTAAATGTGATATTGTTGGGCATCCATCATTCCTTCTATTAAATTAACTAACCATGGCCACAGGTTCTATTATTAATCTATATGGAACTTGAACGATATAACATAATAGCAAAACAAAGCATTGTGATTATTGCCTTCACCTTCACATTACTGATTTAAACGATAAAAGTAGGGTGATAAAAGAAGGTATGGAACTTTAGGTGAAAAGAAGATTATTACCTGTGAGAACAGCATTAAGCAACAAGACCCCCTACAATGTAAATTAATCATTTCAGAGAGCATAATAGTGAAAAAGATACCAAATTGAACTTCAGTCACATTCTAACAAAATAATTTTTTCAGAACACAATAACTAATCATGCACTTTTCTATGCAGAACAAGAGAACAGATAAATAAATATGATCCAATCTCTCAATTTAGAGGAGCGACCTTGTACCATGAAACAACCCAAATTTCGACCTTTCACTATTCAAGAACTAAAAAGTTCTAAAAAATCTTGAAACCGGCACAGGTTATTGTTGTTCTCCAGAAAGTCAATTTAGAAAAGGCATTAGATTTGTGAAAATCTTTCCTCATCCCCTTAGCAAGTCACCAGAATTCACTAATCGATCTCTAGCAAACCTATATTTACATAGCTCATCTAAGAATAAAAAAGCAAGACCTATATGCCTTAGAATTAAACCAAATCAAACAACTAGAGTCTGCATAAAAAGGATCGAGTGTAGTCAGGAATGGAGCCTATTTTCGTTAATTAAAATCATCATGAAAAAATCCTTCAACATAAGTTTTTAAGACTGTTCTAGATCAAGAAAGTAATGACCAAATGAATAAGAGCAAACGTAAGAAGGCAATGGTAGGTAGCGTTTCTGTAGCATCAAAATATTCACAAGACCAATAATAACATATTAGAGGTAAGTTACATCTCCTGCCAAACTCTGATAAAGTAACAGTTCTTGTTTCAGAGTAGTTCATAATGAATAATAACTATAGAACAGAATAAAAAGATATAAAAAAAATAGCACCTGAACAGCCCATTTCTCAAGATTTCCATGGGATGGGATGGAACAACCAAGATCTTGCCGCAGTTCCTTGAATATGTTGAGAAGACTAGGTGGAATTTTAACTCCCTCAGGAACCGAAAAGGAAAGACCCATAGCTTGACCAGGCCCATGATAAGGATCTTGACCAAGAATAACAACTTTCACCCTATCGAAAGGAGTGGAATTCAAAGCATTAAAGATCAAGCTAGGAGGAGGATATACAGGGGCGCCACTGCCGCAAATCTCAGTTTCTACAAATTTACAAAGACTAAGAGCATAGGGTTTCTGAAACTCTCCGGGAAGGGCTTCCAACCATGTCTCATCCACCAAAAGCTCCTCCAATTTCACGCATCCATTTCCCCATTTGGAGACCCTTTCCGAGCAAATTTTGAGACTGCGCTTCGATCTGGCCATCCATTTGTTGGTTTCCGCGCGGGATTTCTGAAGGGGAGTCATGGCTGAGGAAGAGGAAGTCAATGTGAGCTCAGAATCACATTTCTCGTCCGTGGTTGTAGCAAGGGTTTTGAGGGTGTGTGAAGTTTTCAGGCGTTTGGAAGCCGCTGGCTGGAAGATGTCGATTAGGGTTCTAGTTTTGGATGAAAGGGAAGAGGAGGATGCCATTTCGGCGTCGTTAGACCAGTGGAGCCGGAGCGTGCTTTAATGGCGGGAATCAATGAAGAATATCGCTGTAATGTAAAAGATTTGGCTGAACTTGGAGTGGGCTCTAATGGCGGGAAGGGTAACAATGGAGAAATTCCGCTAAAAGCTTTCTCCTCCCGACGCTGGTTTGAAAATTGGATCCCATGCGTCAAAATTTTATTTTATTTTTTATTTAATAATCCGCTTTTTAACAAATTAAATCCCTTTTCATGTGTTCAACTTTTAATTGAATCATATCCAAACTTTTTTTTCTTTTCCTTTTTTCTTTTTTAGTTGTAGGAATGAGATTCCCAACCTCCAATATTTTTTATCATGATAGATATCTTTTAACTTAGGGATGTCCATTTTTCAGCGGAAACAAGCCCCGTAGAACCTAAAAGGAAACATAGGTGAAGAATACATGTTTGTCCCGTTTCCCATCCCGCTTCACTTTTATATATATATATATATATATATATATATATATATATATATATATATATATATTATCTCCTCTAGATATACACACTAAAAATAAATAAATAAATAAATATATATATATATATATATATATATATATTATATGCACGACGTCGATGGACTCTATCAACGCAACAAGACGAACACTGCGACATCAACGACGAGGGAATGCGAGGACTGTGATGGGCGACTACAGCGACAACGACGTGATGAGCGACTGCGACTGCACACGTTGGTCCAAATTGAGAGATGAGATTAAGGGGAAAGAGAGCCGTGAAATTGAGAGGGGGAAGTGAGAGAGGCGGCATATCATAAGTACCAAAAAATTAATAAAACCGGTTAGATTAGGTTGAACCGATCATTTTGTCTAAACCCAAAAATGAAATCGAACCAGTCGGTTCTTGACGTTCTTAACCCAACCTAAACAATCATTTATCTAACCGAATCCAACCCAACCATTAGGTTTTGTGTTGGGTTGCTCGCCTGTTTGGGTTCTTCGTCATCGAGCTTTTAGAACACCCTGAATTACTATCCATTTAATGTTCATATACAACAACTAATTTTATGACGCCTTTTATCTCAAAGTTTCACAACTAATTTTAGAAACTCAAAATATGGTAGCATTTCCCCCACATAATCGTGTTTTTGTCATTTCGTGACAATTTTTAATTGTCATTAGAATAAAAAAAAAAGGTTTCCAAGTTTTTAACTATCACAAAATTATAAAAAGTTTGAGAATTAGTATTTTTTTTCTACCAAAATTCCATCTCCATCATTTTGTAACAATTGTTAGCTGTCATCAAATAATAAAAAAAGTCCAGTCACAAAACTATAAAAAAAATAGCATTTTCCCCCACAAAAAATGTGGCGAAGGAATTTGTGACATGTTTTTTTTTCTAGTCTATTTTATGGCTCACAATTTTCATAAAAACCAAACTTTTTTGGATTTTTTTTAATAATGTTAATTAATAAAATTTTTTAAATAATGTTAATTAAAAAAAACGAAAATAAGGCAAGTTTTCAAACTTATTCTAGAAATAATGCTGGAATAAGTTTGTGGAGTATGGTCGTCTTTAGCACGTGGCGCCACGTCTAATTTCTTTTTAAATCAAGCATGACGACCATGTGTGCATGTGGGATGGTCTTAACAACCAAGTTAAGGATGGTCGTCTCTTCAAGAGACAACCATTTTTTTTTTATCTTTTAATTTTTAATTTAATTTTTATATCTTTTATTTATAATTTTTATGGCTACCAGATCATCTGAAATAATAATGTAAAAACGTATCATTAAATTTATATCAATAATTACGTAAAATTTCAACCAGTTAAACACATACCAAGCCATGAGACAAGAGGTCGAACATGAATCTATATTGGATCAAAACATGTGTAGATACTTCTGTAACACAAAATTGATCCCTCCATCTACAATAATATTATAGGTTAACAAGGATTTCAGTAGAACAATTAAATGTGTAAAATAATTTAATAGTTATATCGACGTACTGGACAACTAATGGTCGACCCACGAGCTCGTGATCCAAGATATGATGACGTTGTGGAGCCATTGTTGGACACCGATCCCAAGCCCATACTTGAAGAAGTATAATAGGACCGGTAATGTCTCGTGAGGCAGAACGGGACGTTTTACACAAATTTCTGTACAACCATGCCAAGCATGCTCCACCCCAACTGAAACGTCCAGCTACCTCAAAATCTGTTAGGAGTGGGAGAAACATCAAATGCACCAAGTTGTTAGACTTACCGGCGAATAGGCTACCACCGATAAGTTGTATAATATAGGCACGAGCGTATCTGGCAATGGTTTCCTCATCTGCATCATCTTTTCAGGTTGCGAAATTGAGAAGCTAGCCAAGGTAAACTCAGTCTTGATCCTCTGATGTGTCGATCATCTGGAGTCACCCCAAGTAATGCTTGACAGACGCCTCCATCATAATCAATGGGACTAGTAAGGGGCTCACCATCTACTCGTAACCTAATTGCAAGACTGAGTTTACCTTACATGATAGTACACTCTCCATCCGGCATGTGGAATGTATGATTCTCTGGCCTCCACCGTTCTACAAGTGCAATTATAAAATGCCAATCTAACCGGATGAATCCTAATTTGGCAAATTTGTAAAATCCAGAAGCGTGTAATGCAGGCTCAATTAAAGGATGCAGCGGGATGAAGCGATCGAATACTGCCTCCCTACGTCGACAGTGCAACTTCTCATTACACTGACTTTGTCATACTAATTCTGATTGATGTTGAGCTTGGGCATACAATACAGATCGATCCGTAGGACTTGGATCTAGTTCCATATTCTAATACCATAGATAATCATTAGTTGGAAACTTAAATCAAAATATTATTTGAGTACGTAAGATTCATCATAAAATTTATCAAATTGCAGTAATAACTACAAAATTACAATCACCAAATTCAATTCACATTACAATCACCAAATTACAAAAAATAAATATTACATAGAAAAATATCTTAATAACGGTTTTACATCGTTTTTTACCTTTGGAAATTTGATTATATATATATATATATACAAGAAATAACTAAATCATACCTTTAAATGAACTAGGAAGCATTCATCATTTGTCACACATGTAAATATATACTTCGAAATCATACGATTAAAAGAATTAACAAATATTTAAAAAAGTCATTATTTGAACTTTAAAATTTTTACAAGACTAATAAGGGTTGAGCACAACCCAAATGGGGTTAGGCCATCCACTTATTTGATGGAGTGGATAGTCATAATCGTGCAATAAATTATTGCAACTTCCATTTGATACGTCAAAGACACCAAAGTCATGACCACCAAAATAATTATATTCCATAGTGTGGTCTCTTTGATCACTTGTGTAGTAAATTTGATTACCTCTCAACTTGGGACAATGTTTGGATGAGATACAGAGCGAAGTATTCAATCCTAAGAAAATGGTATAATCATTCAAGCTATTAATTACAGACCATATAATCCCTTTCTTCGACCATTCCAACTTGAATAAGTTGAATCCAACCGTCTTCCGAATGTATCTAGTTCGAGCTTCAATTTGAATGGGTTTGAATTGGAAAAGCCTTTCGACCATCAACAGCTCATCATCCCTGCTAACTAGATACAACTTGGACTTGTTAAAGGACGACGTGACAAACAATCGTCTCATGTGCATGTCCTTCATGATTACTACCTCTACATCCTCCACCTGTGGCATTCCAATGTCTACAGGAAAGACCACGAGATTTCTAAAATTATTTACTGCGTAAAATTTTTCTTTGAAGAGTATACAATCGTGGAAGGAGTGTAAAGACGTAGGAACGGGTGTCCATTTGTGGTGACCAAGTTTGGTAAAAGCCAGCCTTGAAAATGTCTTATATATAGCTACGGCTACAAAATCATTATTCGAAGACGACAAGACAATTTTACGTATAAATATCGAGTGTACTAGATGCTTGCTTAACGAATACTGGTCGGCAGTGGTTGGATCGATAAACCGAAACTCACCTCCACATCTATTGGGATCGTAGCTTTGGAAGTCTGGAAAAGAAGAGATTGGAGGGAGTTGGATTTGAGACTTGGTGAGAGGATTGAAGAGTTTTAGTGTCAAGTTCGCATCTAGAGTCACCAACCAACCATTGGAAGCTCCACGGCAATAGCAATGTGTACTTGTAAGTTCACCCAAGTCCGGATAGAGTACTTCTTGGTTCAAAGGATTGAAGAAACCTCTGACTAACGTGTTTTCAACATCGTAAGGAAGCATTAGGCGTGGAACGTTGTAATGTTGGTGCATCGGCCACTCGGGCAAGCTGTTTCTATATGAAACACAAACGGCTCGAAATCTAACGTAATCGGTGTATGTGTCTAAGTGATCTCCGATGATTAGTATGAGATCGTAAGGCAGATCACTCCAATCAAACGTGTGATTGTGATTGAGAGTTTCTTCGTTTTTAGAACAAAGGAGAGCCATGGAGAGTGGAGAATTGGTACGAAAGAAACTAATATTTGATCCACAAAGGAGAAGAAGCCTCGCATTTTAAAGGCGTGGAAAATCCTATTACTTTAGGGATTGGGACTCCTTACACGAAACAAAAATGTATTTCAAAATAGGAAAGATATATATAAATATATATATTTTTGGAAAAGATCATAATATGTTTGAAAATTACTGTTTTCAAATTTTCAGTAAACTAAAACAAAAAGCGTAGAATAGGTAAATTTATATATTTGCAAAATAGAAGTACAAAATTTATATATTTGCAAAATAGGAAAAATTTTGGATTACTCGTGAAATCAATTTTTTTTTAAACAAAAAGATAAATATTGGAATTCAAATTTTGAGAAATAGCTGGATTTTCGATTTTGAAGTTAGAAGATCTCCAAGGTCATTTTCTCAAAATTAAATATCGAAATACAAATTCAATTAGAATTTTAAAATAAATATACAAATTTTGAGTTTTCATTCAAATAAAAAAAAAAATTTAAGTACATCAAACCATTGAAATCAAATCCAACCTTAAGCGCCTGATTTTTTATTTTTTAAAAACAAGATTGTTTGAATTTCCATTTTGAAATGCTATGTAAGTTAAAAAAAATGGACTTCTGTTCATTTTCTCTTGTCATGCCCAACCTTTTTTTTTCTTTCTCATGTTTATCTC